ACTTGGGAAAGAGGAAAACGTATTTGTGAATAAAAGGAATCGAGCTTCCCGAGAAGTACTGATATGTTTATAAAGGTTGCCAAATTTAGAGAGGAATTCACGTTGGGGATTACTTGGGGATTGTCGAAATTGGATGCAAACTGTCCCGGTTTGAACGAAGATAATTTACTTTTAGAGGATTTCCTTTCCCCAAAGACCATTAAAACTGTCTCTGAAGTTTTCGAGATTTATGAGATAATCGCTTTGGGGATTTTCTGAAGCACCGCTTCAAGGGGGCGTATTCGGATATCCGGGAATGCATCTAGAATGCATCCCTTCGTGGAATAGGAACAAGCAGTAGTTGGTTTAGCGCCCATTAGCTTCATTTCTGGATGCGCCATGCTTAGGCTCCCACGCAGAGGTAGTGGGATAATGCAAGTTTTGTTTCTTTTCGTGTGTATCTTCCCCCCCCCCCCTCTCCCCATTCCCCTTCCCTGCTCAAGCGATAGTGGGAGCCGAGGTTGCCGGACCTACTAAGATGGTATCCGGGGTTCGAATGATGCTCGCTGTCGAACTTACAGTGTTGGGCGGCCACTGTCCTTCTGAGCTGCAAAAAATCCGCCCCTCCCTGTCGCACCCCCTTACCCCCTCCCTGTTCTCTTAATCTAGTTATCGGGAGTCTGTGTTTCCTCTCCTTGACTACATCTTTGTTTCGCTGTTTATTTCGTTGCCGATAATCGATAATAATGAAGTAAAGTGAAGTAAAGTTCTACGCAATGCCTGTCTACGCGAGCAGATGTGTTTATAGGATTCAGGGAGGTCCATGGCCAACCCAAGCACTTGTCTCAGGGCACATCATTGGTTGGGGAATCCTCAACAGGGGGTCGTATTTGGCAGCTGCGAGAGGGGGGGGGTCGTAATGAGTGCGGTAGCCAGTAACAAGCATCGGAAAGGTGTCAATGTGCTGAGTCCTGTGTAGCGAAACTTGCTTTGTAGAGAATCCGGATATGTAAAAAACAGTACAAAACTTTCTTGATTGAACTAATCAGAAATTAACTGGAAATATTAATAAGTCGACATCATCTCGTAAGTATATGACTAAACAGTACAACTCATACTCTGGTTCGCTGCGGATGATGGGGCGTGTCCGCGATCGCGCTTGGCGCTGAGCCAACCTGTGTTTTTTCTTCGACAAACGACAGGACTACCATATCGTTCGTATCAGGCGTTTTCCAGCAGTTGGTCTCCTTTCTTTTATCCTTTTCCTTTATCAGAGTCAGCAATTGGCGGAGCACAGATCTGGCGGCGTCGGACACGGACACGCCCATCATCCGCAACGGACAACACTGTAAACAAGTGCGTAGGTTGGCCATGGCACTCTCTGAATCACTCTCTGTAATATCCTGTAAGCACATCTGCTCGTGTAGACAGGCACTGCGTGGAACTGCACACATCCCATTACCTCTGCGTGGGAGCCTAGGCATGGCGCATCCACAAATGAAGCTAATGGGCGCTAAAACACCTACTGCTTGCTCCTATTCCACGAAGGAATGCATTCCAGATGCATTCCTGGATATCCGAATATGCGCTCGCTTTGGTATAGCTGTATAGCACTAGAAAACGGGATTTTGTTCGAGGTAGGTTTACTCAAAGTGCCTCTCTAATAGCTCCCCAAGCAATTTATCTCATGAATCCCGGGAACTTCACAAACAGCTTAAGTGGTTTTTGAAAGGAGGAAATCTTCTATTATTCGACACTGGTTTCAGATTTCCAAACTATTGAGGTTAAAGGGAAATATCTTGGCTCAAAGCTGTACAATTCGCATCCAAAAAGTGCACTCCCCAATAAATCCCCAACGCTGAATTTCTCTATGGATTTTGCGACCTTCATAAACATTTCATTAGGAAGCTTTCCTCCACACTTAGGCTTAACTTCTCTTTCCCCAGCAGGTCCGCTTTTGAGGAAGTTATGGCCCTTCAAAAACACCCTACTTTCCTGAAAACTCGCGCTCTAATCCAACCACCCTGCAACCACCTTGCACGCCTGGTCCTGCCCAGAATCCCTTCCAATCGATTCCTCGGCCGTTTTTCGCGCAGCCTGTTGCGGCTGTTCCTGCGTCCCTTTTTGTTTTGTTTCATTTTTTGTTTTTTTTTTTTTCGTTTCTAATGAAGAGATTCTCTCCCAGTGGTCGGCCAGGCGATTAATCCGTATCAAGACGTTGTTCGCCATTTCGAAATTTCTGTATTTCACCCAATTTCGCTCTTAAATCGACATATACTTTGTGCTGTCCACTGTTTCGTCTTTTTTTTCAATTTGTCAAGCATGAATGCGACCTTACAGGCTTTGTAGGCGGTGGGAGGAGGATCAGCTAATTCGCTATTTCACATACTCGTATTCATTGCTTCACAAAAGTTGACAGGTATTTCTCCGAACTTTGAATGGTATCACTTTATGCCTTTACAACTTAGAGCCGTCATATAGGTATGCCTAGCTCGAGCTTAAAAAAACAAACAGCGAAAAAAACTCGCTTTTTCTCACTGTTTGTTTTTTAGGGGGGGGGTTGTACCCAACTCACCAGAAAGGGGGAGGGGTCGTACGGGCTCGACCAAAATCCCCAACTAATGCTGTGCCCTGACGTGTTTACAGTCCGTGTCCGTGCGTGTTCGCCCATCATCCCGACCAGATCCTGCTCCACTAATTGCTTAGAGTCCAACTAAGGAGACCAAGTGTGGAAACCCAGATTACGAACTAATTAGTCACCTGCCGTTTGTCGAGAGAATAAGAAACACGGTTGGCGACCGCGCCAAGGCGGTCGGCGCGACCAACAATCGCCAATCTTCGCAACAAACCTAGGGTATGATTGTGTTTAGTTTTGAATTAAATTTAATTAATGAAAGCTTCGTACTATTTTTTTTACACATCCGGATTCTCTACAAAGCAGTTTCGCCATATGACTCAGCACACTGACACCTTGGCGCTGCTTATTAACTGAAACTGCCCCACTGCAATTACGAACCCCACCTCTCCCAGCAACCAAACACGATCCCTTTTGGGGAACACCCACAACGATGCGCCCTAATCCGCCCGCACACAATACTGGAGACGGGAGTCCCGTCTGCAATATTGCGTGCGTGTAGTAATTGCGATGCAGCTCAAAATATGTCGCAAACGTTACAAGCTGTCGCCCGAATGTTCGCGCATTGGCCGGCAATGGGTCGACGCCTAAATTGAGGCAACTTTGTGCGAACACGCTCTTATGCACTGTTATCTAGTTATAACTGCAGGCAATAGACTAAATAAACCTGTTGCTAGGGCTTTATTTTGCCGGGTTTTTAAGTTTAATCGGTTCTAACTACTTAATGAAAGGAAAGAAGGGTTTCATCGCAGAGTATAGGCGAACAAAGTTTTCATTTACTGAGCCAGTTGTTCGTTCATATCATCCCGTCATGATACTATTTAATGTACAAACTCCGATCGCTGTAGTGTTCCGATCTTGCATTTATAAATAAGGCCATCAAAATTTCCACTGCCTTTGCCTTCCTGGAGTTACCTCCTTGTTCACGCTTCCTGATCCAAAACAAGAACCTGGCGGAGTTGTAGCAAAGCTACACAGTTTGGTGGGTTTGTTAGAAGCCACCCTTCGAATCATGGAAATCCTTTTTTTCAAAGTTTCGTTTCCACATTTCTTGGAAGTGTTTACCATATTGGGCTCTTTCCCGTCCCAAGGCTTGGATAGAACCAGTACGTAGATCTAGTATGCTACGCTCAGCACTTCGAGTACCTGAGTTTCCAGTTTCCTAGTTTCTCCGGCAGCTCCTCCGTGATCCTTATTTCGCAAGTCCCTGATGAACCTCGGGGTTAACGAAATGAAAGGGGTTTGTTTGAGGAAAGAGTGAGAAGAACCGTCGATGTATATGTTTTATTCAATGCTTTTGTTTTCCTTCTTCTCTGGTTGTGTTGCGAAATCGCTACAAAAAAGACTTACTGCTGAAAGGTTCGGCGTAGTTCGGCGAGGACGGAAGGGGTGGGCATTTTGCACTTTCGCCGCTTCCCATTGTTGTATACGTTGCTTAACAAGAGTTTTACCATATGGCTCGACGAACTCGCGCCAGCTTCAAAAGACAGGTTTTACCAGCTTGAGACTTGTAAACCGGATCTGGTAAAGCAGTGAAAGTGCAAAATGTCCCCCTCCCTCCGTCGTAAACTGTCCCAAAGGTACTTGTTCGTGAGCTGTTCACATTATGTCGTATAGTAAATATATGGTAACGGTGTTATTTTCAGTAGCGGAAATGCTGCCTGTGCAGATTTTGAAGGACAATGCGCAGGAAGAGCGCGGAGAAACCGCGCGAATGAGCTCATTCGTTGGGGCCATCGCCATAGGAGACCTGGTGAAATCGACTCTGGGTCCTAAGGGCATGGTTCGTTCGCTTGCTGTTGCTTTCATTGATTCAATCTGCTCAAACCGAACAATTCTCAGGATAAAATCCTCATAAGCGGCAGTGGAGATCATCAAGCAATCAAGGTCACTAATGATGGCGCTACAATCCTTAAGTCGATTGGTGTGGATAATCCGGCCGCCAAAGTGCTAATCGGTGGGTTGAGATGTCTGAGATTTATATATTTATTCCTAGTCTGGTCGTAACCAAAAGGATGCGATCATCCTTTTGGTTCTTTTTTTCGCTGGTATCGAAAGTGTGGAAGAAGCTGGTTGAAATGGTCCCTCGATAAAAATAAATTGGAGATGCAATTTAGACATGTCGATGACCCAAGACAGTGAAGTTGGTGATGGAACCACGTCAGTTGCGGTGCTTGCAGCTGAACTTCTTAGGGAGGTTAGTTGAATTCCAATTGGATTCAACATTAAGCAGTTCCTGATGACCACTTTTAAATATTGGAAAATCTAAAGGTGTAATGTTATCGCACCTTTTTGCGCATCTCTTTCCTCAGCCAAGGCTGAGATTTTCCGCTCTACAGGAGTAACCCGTGGGAACTGTGACCGTATGTGCTCTAACCCTATATCTTGGCTAGGGAAGAAGCGTAGAGGCGCTGTGAATGTGCACCCCTCCCTTTTAAAATAGGTTGGTCACCTGTTTTCTCGCCCGTGAGATGCCAACAAGCCTTTGCAAAGAGTTCATTTTCGTTGCCCATTTTCGTCCTTTGTTTATTGTGACCAGATATTGAACACGAAGGAAAAGCTCTCATTTTCCACGTTTGGACAGAGCAAAATTTTCAGTTGTCTGGTAAACTGGAAAAAGGGTGGTGAGAAGTTGGGGAAATTTAGGGTAATGGTAGGAGAATGGGGAGGGTCGAACGTGATTGTGCAAAATACGACCCCTCGTAATATCCTGTCAGCAAAGGAGGACATTATGAGGCGGCCGTATTTTGCAAAAATTTTCCCTTACCTGCCATGCCTTTGGAGGCGCCATTGAATAGTGGAGTTCAGGGAACATGTTACTTTAGCTTCTTTTAGTGTTCACTTATTTTGTTTTATATTTCCAACACTCATTTTCTCCCCCGCCTTTGATGAAAATGGTACTGTACGATCTGTGGCAATTGCTTACTTCAGCTTTAAGGTGGAAAGTAGCATACCTAGAGAAAAGAGATCAGATCGGACTTCATTGCGTCCTTTCCCTGGCTGCATCGATGAGGAACTCCGATAAACTTAGCAATTACAGAGACAACCATACTGGTCATCTTTATTTCAGGGTGAGAAGCTCGTCAATCAGCGTATCCATCCACAAACAATCATTTCTGGCTACCGTCGTGCATTGTTGATTGCTCAAGATGCTCTTCGTTCCTCGTCCATGGAATCTGGGTAGGTTACTTTCGATTCTCATTCAGTTTCTCGATTTTCTTCTGTTCGTGACTCTTTCCGGTACTAGAATCTGGGCATCCAGAACTTTTGTGTCCTCTAGAGGCCTCCTGTCTAGTGGAGGCTCATTCATTTTTGTTTTCCGAAAAGTCTGCCGCTCTGGGATTATCCGGGATCATAAGAATCTTAACCAGCGTCTGACCACGTATCGATTCTGGTGACAATTTGTGAAAAGAGGAGAGAATAGTCTGGTCAACAGGAGCGTGGGATCCAATTAGGGATACTTGATATTTTTGGTCTGGAACCCCTACACGGGATTAAATCCGGACTCCCCACTGTCGAAAGTTGCGCATCATTAGCCCAACTGCACATCAAACTGACGCTCATGTTAGTCTTGCTTCGTTGTGTTCTTGCTTATGAGTAGGCCCTTGGTATCCATGTAACCGAGGCATTTAAAGACAGCTCCCGCGATAAATAGTTGATGTTCAATTATGAAACAGTAGCTGATAAGTAATTCCCAGAAAAGAAAAAAAGCAAGAAGAGTCCTCAAGAACACCATAAACAAAATCGCTCCCTGACAGTCACAATCACATCTCCCAGTAGTGGATATCATCGAATGCGAAGAAAAGAAAACAAAAAACAACAAAAACAGAGAGGAAAACTCTCTTGAAAGAAAAGAAACATTTAAAAAGCCGGCGTCCGAATTTAGGGTTACGGTAGCGTGCATATTTTAGTGTAGTGAAGTGCGTCGAGCTTTTGCACCACGAAAATTGGGTCGCTCGTGATTTTTACGCGTTTTACCTTGCGAGATGGGTTGGAGTTGACTGTATGTGCTCCTGATTAAAAATGTAATAAAGGAGAGCAGAATCATTCATGGGCATGAGCGCTGTCAGCGAAAAGGACATGCAATTCCGATTAATGCCCGCCGCCCCAACAAAGAACAACTGAGCTGCCTCCGTCGGAGGGCATCTAGCAAGTGGGCGGTCCAACTGAGCGGGCGTTAGAACTAGAACTTTCAGCGGCTGTAGCTCGCTCCTCGCTCGCTGTGGAGTCGCGAGAGTGGGATAGTCTCTAGCTTGGGGCTGTACTACTTGCACAAGGAAGGACGACCATGTACTACTCGAGCGCGGGAGCTGTCTTTAAGTGAGATGATCCCGCCGAAACTGTAGGCTCCGTTTCATTCTTTGCGTCAGCTTCAAACGTACGCCAGCGCTTTGGCGTTTCACGGGTTGTTTTAAACTTTTCGTTGGTAGACGCTGACAACGCTAGTGACCTCAAAACGCTAGATTGATATCTATACTTTCCTAGTCGCTCAAAACGCTGCCGTGCGATCGAAACGATGACGCAAGGTATGAATGCAGTCTAGAAGTTAAACAACAAACTTCGATGCGAGGTGTAAAACAAGCCTCCAATTCACATGCCTGGATTTGAAGTATGATCCACATGAAGAGCAATGAATCGTGTTTAGCCTTTAGCTAGTTCATTGGTAGCAAAAGTGTGATATAAAGAGATATAATAATATCCGAGTTGAACTTTTGTAGCCAAAATATCGAGGAAGATTTGCTGAAGATTGCTCGTACCACTTTGGGATCTAAAATTCTTAATCAACACAAGGAGCAGTTTGCCAAGCTGGCAGTTGATGCTGTGCTGAGAATGAAGGTTTGCTCTCTCTCTCTATAGCAATATTGCCATCTACTCGATGCATTCCTTTTTCACTACATCTTCTTTTTTCTCAGGGATCAGGAAATCTCGAAGCTATTCAAATTATCAAGAAGCTTGGTGGTTCTATGAGTGACTCTTACCTCGATACAGGTACTTACAGAAACGCTTCAGTCCCGGCTTAGTATCACTGACGTCTTCATTCTTAGCACTGTATGACTACTACCAGTTTAGGTTTTCTTCTCGAAAAGCTGCCCGGTATGTACCAACCGAAAAGGATGGAAAAAGCAAAAATTCTTATCGCGAACACTCCTATGGATACAGATAAGGTAACTCTTATACGTGTTTTCTTTTTATTACGTTTGCGCGAGAAGGCCTCAAATATATTTGAAGTTTCATAACTCCTATGTAGCAGTCTAGATTACGGCGCACAGTCATTTTCGAGAGTTTTTACTTTTCGGAGAAGGGGTTTGACGTGATTTCACGAGTGGTCCGAATGAGCATCAACTTCTTAAGGCGGTGGAAAGATTCACAACTGGTTTGGAAGAGTTACATACAGGGCACGTTGGGTCATACAGGTCCACGTTGGGGATCTCCAGCGAGGGGATCCTATTTCCCTGTGGGGTTGTAGACTATTCTCGGTTTTTCGTGCTTCATGCGCGCTATGCACCCCTCTATCCCGCGCAGTTTTTAGGAAAAGTGTTTGGAAGAAGAGAAACATATCGAAGAGGATCGCAAATTTTGAGGGTATTTTGCACATAAATACTTTGCTCAACGGCAGGACGTGACTGGTCCTATTAGGAGGATCACTCTCCCAATTGAACGCTCTGTTTCGTTGTGTTTTTAGGATTTCACTAACCCGGCATTTTTTCCAGGTGAAAGTGTTCGGTTCCCGAGTTCGTGTTGAATCTGTTGCCAAGGTGGCAGAGTTAGAAGCCGCAGAAAAGCTGAAAATGAAAGAGAAGGTAAATTTCCGTCATGTTTCCGAAGGCACGCTTCTCGTTGCAAAATGGTCAGGTGTGTAGCTTAAATACTAACGACAAGAGCTTAAATACTAAACGGTAAACAACACAGAAGCACATGTCACACAACTAGAGGAAAAAAAAGTGTGCCTGGAATGCTCCGTGTGGAACCTGTGCTGAAGCGCGCTTGTACGTGGACAAGGCGAAGAAAGAGCGTGGTCGTTGTTGGTGCAGTTCCTTTTCCCTGTCACCTCACTCTCACTATTCGAAATGGAGCGGAGCTAGCCCCATCACTAGGATAGCTTTAGTAATAAAATTTAGTCGTTGACGTGGCCAAAGGGTGATGACCCGCCGGGAACGGGTCGCGCTTTCCTCACTATTTTAGCTGTGAAGGTAGTGCACCTACCCCTGTAGACAGGACCACCACGTCTAACGGAGGCATCTGAACATTAAATAAACACGGAGCGTGCCTTCAAAAGAGTGTCAGGGTTGTGTGGAACACTATGTAACGTATTTCAGGTTGACAAGATTTTGGCTCATAAAATCAACGTCTTCATAAACAGGCAGTTGATTTACAATTATCCTGAGCAGTTGTTTGCCGACGCTGGTATTATGGCCATTGAACACGCTGACTTTGAAGGAATCGAGCGGCTTGCGCTGGTGCTTGGTACGGTTGCTGATGAACTTCTCAGAAATATGAATTCTTCTCAATCATTTTTAATATAGGTGGAGAGATTGTTTCCACGTTCGACACACCAGAAAATGTGAAGTTCGGAACATGTGACCTTATCGAGGAAGTGATGATAGGCGAAGATCGCCTCTTGCGCTTCAGTGGCGTACCTCTTGGTTTGTACCATTTAAGTGACGTTGTCACAGTTCGGCTTGGAGGGAGCACCAAATGATGTCCGGAGCTTGGTCAGACCATATTGTGTGACCTGCTAATTGTTGCGAAAACGGTTCACTTGTACCATTTCGCAATTTTACGGGTGTTTATAGGCTATACAAGAGTGAGACCTGCTAGTGAACAATATCTAGGAAACAATGTTATGCAAAATGCTCCTCCCAAGCCGAATGGCGCCACCGTTTAATCTTATGGTAATTAATTTGTACTAAAAGTACTCTACGTGCAGGAGAAGCCTGCTCCATTGTGCTCCGTGGTGCAACTCAACAGATCCTGGAAGAAGCTGAGAGATCGCTGCATGACGCCCTTTGTGTGCTAATCACCCATGTCAAAGAGTCGAAGACAGTAGCTGGTGCTGGTGCCTCAGAAATCCTCATGAGTACAGCTGTCGCTATGGAAAGTCACAAGGTATGGATTTACTAGAATTTCCTGCAGATACAGTACATAATTCGAAAATTCTGTGTTGTGTTAAGGTGGCAGGAAAAGAAGCAATGGCGGTTGAAGCCTTTGGCCGTGCCTTAGCTCAACTACCAACGATCATCTGTGACAATGCAGGTCTTGATAGCGCCGATTTGGTTACTAGGCTGAGAGCAGAACATGCGAATGGTCATCATAACATGGGAATAGGTTAGTCTAAACTTTTTACTTTACAGTAAATTGACAGGGGTTTAGAGTGCTCTGGGTGGAGGAAGCAGTGTTGTACAGAATTCCTTCTTTGTCTGGTGCACCCATCACTCTGAAGCACCCTACTTAGCGGGACATATCAAACTTTAGTTGTAAATTCAAAGCATTTGAAAATTTGCCACTATTTTACTAACATGGTTTCACTGTGCAAATTTGGAGGCCGTCTTGCAGGAAGCCCTTTCCTATAGCACAAAGGGCTTCATGCCGAGCCTTTCATGTGTCCTGCTTTCCTTCCCTTTTTAAATTGGTAAAGAGGATGCTAGCGTAGTAGGCACTGTGCAGGCTCCTCCCTTCCGACGAACGTATAGTGCGCTTCAAAGTCAGGGTTAGCGATTGCCAGTGTGTAAAAAAACTCTTCCTTAGAGCACAAGGTGCGGCAATCCTCAGTCGCGGAGAATACGCGGCCTGAGAGTGCTTGATATGCCGCAGCTTTGTTAGAATACGCAGCCTCCACCCTCGCATCATGCTCCTCCCTTTCTTTTTGTTTACGTCACTGAACTTATAAAGCAACCTCAATGGCAACGTGGTTCATGGAGGTTATATAGGGACTGCGACGGGACCATTATTTCTGATAAGGGGAATTGGAGCTCAAGCGTCACCTGATTCACTGAGAAAGCGAAGAGCTTTGCCGATCCTACTATATATAATCCGCTAAGTATGTCTGTAAGTGTGTGTGTGTGTGTGTGTGTGTGTGTGTGTGTGTGTGCGTCCGTCTGTCTGTCACGAAATTCATAGCGAGCGTCGCAGAAAAGATAGGACGACAGTTCCAAGAAGTGATATACATGGCAGGACGGGAACACTTTTGGTGGGTGATAGAATGTGATAGCACCTGATAAGATTCGATAAGGGGCCTTAGAAGGGAGGGTGACCGAGTCCATAGTGCGGGACACAGTAACAGTGGGACATTGGTTCCAAGGTATGATATAGGGTGTGAGACAGGAACATTATTGGTGGGTGGCAGGGAATGATATCAGCTGATAAGATCTGAAAAAAGGCGTCAGAAGGAAATGGTCGCCGAATCCATAGCGCGGGTCTCAACAATAACAGGACGTTAGTCCCAAGGTATGATATACGGCATAGGATAGGGACGTGACTGGGTGGTGACAGGGGGTGATATCAGAATCAGCTGATAAGATGTTATAAGAAGCGTCAGAAGGGGAGGGCACCGAGTCCACAGCGCGGTTCACTGCAATTGTGGGACGTTAGTTCCAAGGTATGGTATAGGCTATGGCACACGATTATTATTGGTGGGTGACAAGAAGTGCGGGCAGCTGATAAGATTTGATAAGGGGAGTTAGAATGGGAAGGTCTCCATACGCATGACGCGGGACACAGCATCAGCTAGGCGGTGACTCCAGTATAGAAGGGGAGGTGGGGACGGCGACGGCGGGTTACAGGAAGTGATAACAGCTGATAGGGGCTGATAAGGAACGTTGTCATTGTTGTTCAGTCAAATTGCTGGAGCCTTTACACTACCAAATTATAGAGTTTTAGTGATAGGGACATTGATGACGGGTGACAGGCAATCTTATCAATTGATAAGAAAGGATAAGGGCCATTCTCATTACATCTCTTATCACTATACTGCCAAGTATTGAAGGCTCAGTGTGCAAACTTTTCCTTTAGCCATCACTTTCTGATAGCTCTAGAAAATGAACTCATCCCACTATCCTGCTATATATACTTTGTTGCGCTGCGGACGGTTGGGCGTGTCAACCAGTATGAGTGTGCGCAGCGTCAAGACCGTTGTCTGCCCTCTTGTAAATATATGAACGAATAAATTTTGTTTCCAGCATAATCAGAAACAAAAATGCAAAAGATCATGCATTTTGCTAGAAGGTTGCAATCATTTTTTTTGTTTGTTGTGTGTGATCCCAGTAGCATTAAACTACTGCTACAAAAGACCATTATTACCAGTTATTTTATATGATCTTCAGGATCATCTGAATCATCTGCACGCATTTGTATTTTGTTTGTAGGTGTCTGCGAATTAGGCACGGTATCGTTCACCGGCGTACTGTAATATGGTGGTTTAAAGATAGCCCCCGCGCTCGAGTAGTACATGGTCGTCCTTCCTTGTGCAAGTAGTACAGCCCCCAAGCTAGAGACTATCCCACTCTCGCGACTCCACAGCGAGCGAGGAGCGAGCTACAGCCGCTGAAAGTTCTAGTTCTAACGCCCGCCCAGTTGGACCGCCCACTTGCTAGATGCCCTCTGACGGAGAGCCGCTCAGTTGTTCTTTGTTGGGGCGGCGGGCATTAATCGGAATTGCATGCCCTTTTTGCTGACCGCGCTCGTGCCCATGAATGGTTCTGCTCTCCTTTATTACATTTTATTTATTAGGAGCACATACAGTCAACTCCAACCCATCTTGCAAGGTAAAACGCGTAAAAGTCACGAGCGACCCAATTTTCGTGACACCACACTACACTAAGACATGCACGCTACCGTAACCCTAAATTCAGACCTAGTTTTGGAAAGTTTTTTCCTTTTCAAAGATTTTCCTTCCGTGTTTTGTTGTTTTTCGTATTCTTTTCATTGCATTGGACAATACCCACTACTGGGAGATGTGATAAACGAAATTGGGTTGCACAGAGACCGCAGGAAGGTAACGGTCGCCTAAACCTACACCCGGAAAAAAATGTCCGGACGAGTTTTACGGGCGCAAGTCGTCCACTTCGTTGTGGGACCACGCGTCCCTTTAACTTCATTTGAATTAGGATACTTCAATAAGAGCGTTTTTTTGCGAAGATTATCGCTTTTGTGCGTAATCATAGTTAATATTTTCGAGATCTGCTTCTGCTTCGATTAGGAAACACATGAAACCTGAGGTGCAACCGGAAACTTGAGCACACCAACTACATCTTCTGTTTTTTAGGACTACATCCCGTCGGGTGCCACCATTTTCAGAAGTTCTGCCACTCAGCGTTGGATTTCAGCACAGGAAGATATCTACAACCTATATTCGGTTTCTGTGCACACAACCGCTGTTATAAGAGGTGTTTGTTAGATGTCCGGCGGCCGAAAATCTCCATTTGACATGTATGTTTGGAGACACTTACTCGCTCGGTTTTAGGCTCTCAAGGGAAAGAAGTTGGGTTCGGAAAAACTACTGCAAATCTTCACAGCCGCAATGGTAAACGAATTCCAGCAAAAATACAACCAAAATTTCAAATACAGCTGTAGTGGAGAAGGATATACTGCGTGGAAAAGGTGAACTAACTCCCTCATGATCATTGGCAGATGTGTATGCTTCGAATCAACCGCAGTATAGTACAGTCCACAACATAAAAACACTCTTACTTGTGTTCTATCATCCCCTTCTGCAGGTGAACGAGCGACCCGAGTATATACATTACTCCTGGAGCCATTGTTACTCAAGCTCCGGAACCCAATCACAGCCAAAAGCAGTATGCACAGCAAAACACGAAACCGGTAACTCACTATCCAGTTTCATCAGCCTTTCGAAGCAGAAGCAGATCTCGAAAATATTAACTGTGATTACGCACAAAAGCGATAATCTTGCAAAAAAACCGCTCTATTGAAGGATCCTAATTCAAATAGGTAAAGGGACGTGTGGTGCCACAAGGAAGTGGACGACTTGCACCCCAAAACTCGTCCGGCATTTTTCCGGGTGTTTAGGCGACAGTAGGAAGGTAACTGCCAGGGAGCAATTTTTGTAGTGTTCTTGAGGACTCTTATTGTTTTTTTCTTCTTTGGCGAACTATTTATCATACTATTTCATAACTGCAAAGCAACTATCCATGACGCTCTTATCGCGGGAGCTGTCTTTAAGTAGCGTTAAGACTTCGCGACCGAAGCGCTGCCGAAGTCTGAACGCTGCCTTGAACAAAGAAGCAATAAAATGCGCCTCTCTAAGGTCAAACCTTCCTGCCCTCACACAGTGCCAGTGAGCGACCTTCTCTCGCGCAGATAACTGCGAGGGGGAGATGTAGGAAAGGTGCAGGAACCATTCAGTGTAACAATTTTGTCTTTCTAAAATGACTAGTATCCTAATATTAGTTTATTTTGATGGAAAACTGAGCGAACGTGAAGGAACATCCATTTTTCGTAATTGCTGCGAAATAAATCACAATGACGTTGCTCGTAGAGATCGTGGTGGAGGTACCTCTCACATACGTAGCTATTGAGCAAGGTCTTATGACCGTGGAGACGCCCGCATGCGAAATCGTATAAATCATGAGGATGGGCGGTCGCGGAGCTTATACAGTTGTATACAGATTTGAAATTTATATAATCGCTACTCAACTACTGCTATCTCGAAAACATTTTTATGCTCAAGATTCGTCACAGAATAAGCGATGCCCTTGGTAACCAATGCGGAGTCGATTTTCCATATTGGTTCCACACGGCGTCCCCAATTTTTCATCGAAATAAGTGTGAAGCTGCATCGGGACTAATGTAGGGTGGCGACGATAAACACCGTGTTCATGTTAAACGAGGGATCAATATCATATTCGCGAACAGGATCCTCGATCATACTAGATGTATAGTTCGAATTTCAACATTGGGAGGCGTGTTCCCTTAATATGGATGTGAACGCTGCAGCAGAGGAAAGTTACAGTTCAGACAGGGCTGTGCCATTCGCAGCTGATTCCTTAGTGAGAGTCAAGTTTCGTTTGCGAGGGAAAAGGGAACTTCCTACTGCTGGTTGAGCACGCTTTGCCTCCATCAAATCAAAGTGGTGGATATCTCTCCCTCTGCTCTCCGGATGTTGAGAAGGTCGTGTTGAAGATAACTTTACTTGATACCTTAAAGACGATGGCGTTTGGCGAGAGAGCGCCGCGTGGGACAGGGTCGTTTCTTCGTTTGCGTCCACTATGAGCCACCGGTGGCTCGTATTGTCCCCAGTGGTCCACCTTTTTGCCGCTCCATGAAGTTTTGCAAAATGAGTAAAGGCTCATTCCGCGACCAGGTATAGATGTTG